TCTTCTCTTCCCCCTGCCTGCCACCACTAACGGTGATTTCTACCCTGGTTTAGCCCCCAAAAGCCCTCACTCAGCTCGACACAGGGCTGTAATAAATGCCTGGCTGTGCTCCCTGTTCAACGGCCTTGAAGGATGTGGTTGGTTGTTCCGTGAGCAAGGAGCCTTGTCAGACCCGTGAATCACCCCTCGATCACTTCCCTCCCTGGAGAAGAAACTGTTCCTGTGCTTGTGCATGTGTGTGTGTGTGAGAGAGAGAGAGAGAGAGCGAGAGAGAGAGAGAGAGAGAAAGCAGGCAAGAGTGCTAACCCACGTGTGGTGCCGACCTTGGGGCTAGGATCCTATTTGACCTTACCCTTACCCAGAGCCTTACCTTTCCTTCTCTCCTAACCTCTGTTCCTTCCTGGCTTACCAGGAAGCCACCACCAGATCCCCGTGCTTAGCTCCAGGAACCCCTCCAGGTTGGAACAGCTGCTCTGTGTTTATCTGTTCCTCTTGGAGGTTGGGTGTTTTCCATGGGGCGTGGAGCCCACTTCCCCAACAGACTGTGAACGGCTGGTCCGTCCTTTTTGCCTCAGTCTTTCCTTTTCTCTCAGATTCACCAATTGGGTCGGAAATCACCTGCTGTGCTTTGTTGATCAGGAACAGCAGATGGCAATGAGCATATGGTGCATACCCATGGTGGGGTCAGGCACTCGGTAGATGCTTTACCCCAAATTAACTCAGGCCAGGTTCCCAAAAGCCTTGTGAAGTTACAGGTGAGGAAACTGAGGCTCAGAGTGACAGCCCAAGGTCACACAGCTAGGAAGTGGCAGAGGCAGGATTTGAGCATGATCTGCCCAGCACCACACTCATTCCATAATGGAACTGGCCCTGAAGAAGGCCCTTATCAGGCCGTGGCTGCCCATTCTAATTCCTGTGGGGCTGGAGTCACAATCTAAGGGCTGAGAAAAAAAGAAAGGCAGACAAATGAATGCATTTGGGGCCAGTTCCTAAGCATGTGGCTCCCAGGACCAAGACTAAAATCTGAGATGATCTCAGCAGAGGAAGAATGTATTATTTCCACCGGGGCAACCTTAACTTATTACCCCAAGCACTACTGGAGACCAGATACCAGCCTGAAGTTGCTCAACTCCTCCTGCCTCACAGTGACCCACCGGCGTTGCCCACCACAAACTCACCTGCATGGCACATGGTAGATGTCTACACAGTGAGGCAGTCCTAAATACCAGCCTGCACTGCTCTGTCACCATTGCATGGGGCTGAGCCTGGCCTTCCTGCCCAGATTCTAATTGAGCAGAAGGGCCCCATCTTATATCCACATCCTCCTTTGGAGCTAACCTGACTGCATTGCCCCAGATCTGCCCTGTGCTAACTGTGAGACCCTAAGCAAGCTGATGAACTGCTCCAAGTCTCAGTTCATCTGTAAAATAGAATCCAAAAACCTACCCCACATTAGGGTGCATTCAATGACCTGCAGGAATCACAGGAAAACACCAGTGTTACTATTTGCATTCCCTAAAGAGTCCTGCAGAGAATCAGAACATTCATGATTGGTATTTGTCTGAAATAAACAAATCAGGAAGTAAAAGAACCGTGAAAGTGCAATATTCCCAAATCAAATAGATATAATTTCTTGTTTGTTTTCGATGGTTTGTTTTAGATAAATGAGCTTTACTCCACCACCGTATGAATTGATGTATACCTATACCTGCCGTGAGCACAAAGAATCAGGTGGACCTGAACTCAAATCTTTACGGGAAAACTTTCAAATGAAGGAATCTGCATTCTATATCCAGCATCATCAGGACCATTTTTAAGACAAGCGTCAGAGGCCAAAGCCAGTTTACCTAGGATCTCCCCAGCACAGCTCAGAAAGCCAGGAAAGGAGCCTAGCTTCGGGCCAGGGACCTAAGCAGCTGACCTAAGCAGCAGCTGCCTGCCCCTCTCCACCCCACCCCAAGCAGGGGCTGGGCAGAGAGGAAGGAAGCCAGGGCTGACAGTGCCATCCACATGATGGAGGCTACTTGCGTGCCTTCATGAACGGACCGAAAGCACAGGATCCTTCGTGTCCAGGCAGCTCCCCCTCCCCATGGGGATGAGCAAACCCTTTGCAGGATGTCCTGAGAGAACCTTTGCAGTGTGTTCCCAGCATTCTGGAGCCAGCTGAGCTCCTCCTGCATGGGCCTCAGGACTCTCATCAGCTAGCTCTGGCTAACACGCACATCCCGTAAAACCTCTCCGCTCTGCAATTTACCAAACCACAGACTCAGAATTCACCATCAGCGGAGAGAGGCTGAAGGAGATGTGCTCCTCCAGTGCAGAGGGTTTCCAGAACATAGGCAAAGGGGGCAGCATGTCCTGCCAGCTGACCACACCAGAGGCCTTACCCAGAACACTCAAGCTTCTGGTGTGTGGTGTCCACTGTGCACGAGCCAGGAGAGGAAGAGGCCGCAGCCTCCCCCAACCTCTCTTCCTGCCTCTGTCTGTCCCATCAGGCCCTTTCTATTGCTTTCTTTCCGCTTTCTATTATTGGAGATGCTTATGTTATATATTAATATATATATACAATTCCCCAAATGGGTAGAAACTTTTCCACCACCAGGTATTTGTCCTCTTAGCCAACCCCAACCAGACTTAGGACACATGCAATGAAAAAAACCCACAGAGAAGGCAAAAGGCCAGTTAGACCAAGGTGCTGTGAATAGCTGTGTTGCAAGTTACTTGACCCAATCTGGCTCTCCATTTCCTCATCTGTAAAATGAAGTAGCTGAGCCAGATGAATCTTCGGGTCTCTGCCCATTCCGCAGTTCCACAACATACAACACTTTCTCCTTTCACTGTTTTCCAGAACCCTAGTTCAGAACTCTGTATGGCTCCATCTGTTCAATGACATCACTCCCTGCCCCAAACATAATGTCATCGATTCTTACTCGGGAAGCGGAGATGGCCCGGGAAACACTTTGTCTGTAAAAAGGGAGGAAATGATCGTTTCGAGGAAACTGCACAGGACTTCTTTTGTGTTTTTCACACAGAACAAGTTATTATCAATCTTAAAACCCAAAATCTTTCTTCCTTTTTTGCCAGACCATTAATAGCTGCTTTTCAAAAATACTTTCTTAGTCAGTATCTCACCAATATAATAAGCTACCATTTAATAAGTGCTTACTGTGTGCCAGGAGCTGGGCTAAGTGCTCTACATAGATGATCTCATTTAATTCTCCTGACAGCCCTAGGAAGTGCATACTATTATTATCCTTACTTGAAATTGAGTAAACTGAGGCCCAGGGAGGTTTAAATAACTTGCCCAAGTTTGCACAGCTAGTTAGTGGCCACGCCAGGCTTTCAGCAAGACAATCTAACTTCAGAGCCCCAGCACATAACCTTACCTTTCAAAACTGCCTGCAGTGGGTCCAGGTGCTAGTTTGTTACAGGTGTGTCCTGCATCTGCAACCTTGGGCACCACTGGTGGGAACTGAAATGTCATGTTTCATCTAAAATCCAGAGTTAGATACGCGTCTGCTTGGGTCTCAGAGCAGAGAGTGCCATCTGTTGAATGCAGTGCCAAGCTCAACCGAAGACTAAAACTGAGAATCCTTAAAACTTAGCCTGCAACATTTGAGAAAAATAAACCCCAGTATGTACAAACGGACATCTGTCCACAGAGCCGGTTGACCACCTGGTGACCCAAGCCCTCCAAACAGAGCTTTCTTGTAACAGCAGCAGAAGATGCTTGCTTGACCAGATAATACAAAAGAAACAATTCTCTAAGGGTGTCATAGACTGTTCCCAGGAGGCACCCACCTCCCCGCCTGGTCAGCAACCTGCCTCCACATTTACCTCCTCTCCATCTGAGCCCCACCACATTTGCTCAGCTATTAAAAAAACCCGAAGTTCAGAGCTACCGGTGACAAAGGCAGAAAGAGTAGCCCGAGGCTGACATTGCCACAGTCCCCAGTCCCTTTGCAACAGTGGAATAAAAGGCACTTCAGAGATCAATGGGCAATCCAGGGCAGCAACCAGCAGCCTGTTTTAATTGTTAACATTAATGCTTTGAGCATTGGAACTGCTCTTCTAAATACCTAATTTGCAAATAACATGCAGTCCTCTGTGCTTGGGTCTCTTCTATCTCAAGTACAGGAGCACAGACGCTCCAAGGGGTCAAGGACACCGTGTTTACTTCCTGAGGTGTGAGGGATGGGAAGGCAGGACCAGCTGAGACGAAGAGGGCCTGTCGCATAGGCTCTGGAGCTGGCCCAGTCAACCTTAACCCCTTCTCATTAACTATGGGGGAAGAAGGGGGAGGGGCAGTCGGCGGTTCCTCGGAGACCACAGCAAACATTTGCCTCCTCGTGTCTGGAGATGGAGCATCACTTAAGAGGAAATGAACCCGGTTAAGGGTCACATTCAGAGGAGGAATAAAAGGAAAAGCCACGGTTCTCCTCACACCAACGGACACAACGGCTTTAAGAGGGAAATCAAAGCTCAGCGCAGAGGGTGGAGGTTGGGCTGGGGGGCGTTGGCTCCTTCGGCCCCCAGCCCCAGGCCTAGGAAGGCAGAAGCAGAGCTGGCGTGGGAGGCAGGGCGAGAGGTTTCCCTCCCCAGGGCGAGCTCTGAAAGCGTCTCGGGCTGTGTGAGCGTGAGCACCCAGGGCCCCCGGGGAGGGCCGAGGAGATGCGCTTTCCCAACGGGGCTGCTCTGCGAGGGGTTGACGGAAGCTCCCCCCACCATCCATCAAAGGCGGACAGATGACTTCACCGTTGTAACAGACAAGGGCAGCCACTTGCCAATTCCAATGCCAAAAAAAGAAACCGGGGAGGGGGAAGGAGGAAGCACAGAAGAGGCTTCCCTGGAGATCAGAGCCCTGCGAAGAAACTCCACGGCCGCGGGCTACCCCGTGGGCGCTTAGCTCCCGGACCTAAAGGCGGGGAGGGGAGAGGGGCCTCCTGGGGCCCTCCCGGGACCTGGGGCCACCCCGCAGAGTCGGCGGAGACTGTACTCACATAGTGCTTGGAGGGGTTCCTCCGCTTCTCCACGTCCACCACGGTGGCATCCTGCACGCAGTAGGCGAGCATCTTCCCCCACAAAGCGAGTGGCGCCCCGGCGGCGTCACCTTCTCATCCCGGCCGGGCTCCGGCTCCTTCTCCAGCTGCCCGGGTCCCGGGGCCGCCCACCACCCCGGCCCGGCGCGCCGACAGCTGCCCGGACTCCCGGTGCCCTCAGGTCCGGTCCCGGGGACGGGGGAGGATCCCGGAGGGCGCGCGGGCTCCGTGCGCCCAGGGCAGCTCCCCGCCGGCCTGCCGCGCGCCCCTTCCCTCCCGCGCGGCCGCCGCGCTCCGCTCACCCGCTCGCTCTCTCCGCCGCCCCGTGGGTCCGGCGGGAACAGGCGGAGCAGAGGAGGGGCGGGGGTGTGTCCCGCAGGCGAGGGGACGGGGCGGGGGCCCGGAGCCTGCTGTCAGCGCTCTGGGGAGGGGCCGGCGGCGCCCCTTCGCTGCTCTCCGGCTCGGGCTCCGGGGGGATCGGCGCTGGCGGAGGCTGCGGGCGCAGGAGGCGGAGGCAGGGCCTGCCTGGCAGGGAAGGGAAGGGAGGGAGGGGAGCGAGGGGAAGCGCGCGGGGAGGGGCTCCGGGCCGGGGGAGGGGCTCCGGACGTCGAGGAGGGGGCTGCAGCCTGGCCCGAGTGGCAGGGGGCGGGCCGACGAGACCCCCACCGAAGCCCAGCGCGCACCCAGCGGCCTGGCGCGGCGCTTGGCTATTTCGCCGGGCACAAAAACTCAGGGTGGCTTCGGGGGGAGAAGGAACGGGGAAAGTGAGCCCACCTCGCCCCCAGCCTGGCTTTCCGCGTCGGAGCGGATTTGTGCCTTTTTGTCCCCACCTTTATGTTCCCCTACCACTTCCACCCCCAGATCTCTTTAGTGAGAAGTAGTTTATTACCCGGCTGTTACTGCCCAGGCCCCCGAGGAGATGGGAATGGGGAATGGGCGAGCTTTAAATCCTTCAAGCCACAGCTTGTTTGGACGAACCACCTGACCCCCTGGAGGTCATAAAGGGTGAACTCTCCCCGGAAATGTGATCGATTCGTTGCCTGAGTCGTTCCAACGATCTGGGCTTGTGTAAGAAACCTGTGACATCATTTACCAATGACAAAGTTACAAACTCTGCATAACACCACTGCCTTAAGCCTCAGGCTCCCCTGGGGACCCTCCCCAGGCTAGCGACAGGGAAGGCCGCATACAAAGGCAGGAAAACCCACCGGCTGGAGGCCAGCTCACCATGAGCCTCAGGCTCTGACATTCTCACCCCTCCCTCTAATCTGGAAAACTCACTTTCCAAGTCATTTGTCCGTGGTCCCTGGACTTGGAGCACAGCTACTAAATTCAATTTAGCTTCACCCCCTTCTAGTTCAACATTTCTTTTCCATTCTGCTTTCAAATATTTAAAATGGGTAGTGTTTTCACAGCTAATCCAGTTGTTTCACAATCACAATAAAGCTTCGTGACTGTGGACCAATGTGAAACATCTGAAATAAGGACAAATAATTTTATGACCTAATTGCATTAATACTTTCCTCTGTGGGCTCTCTACTGTCAGAACCCAAGCACCAATCTAAGGCCTTATTTATTCACACATTTGCTCCATATAGAGCACCCCACTATTCCTCCAGCCTCCCTGGAGAAGGATGCTAGGACGCCAAACCATGGCAGAGGACAAAGGAAAAAGCAGAAAAAAAGATGGATGGGTCTGGAGGGGGGGCGGGGCAGACTGTGAGACATCTTGGCACAGAGCTTCTTAGAGAGGATCGAAAACCGGTGTGAACGTCGGAGCAGGAGTCCTGGGGCAAGGTGCACCTGGTAATGTTGCTCAGTTGATGGGAAAATGGGGGGACAGGGCACTACCTCCATGAGCAAGGCTTACTTCCCGAAAGGATGAGAGGTAGACACAGAACGGGCCCTGGGCTCTGAGCTGTAGAAGCTGGGAGGGTGCCGGCCAGTTGCAGGTCCCCTCTGATAATGGATTAAGACAGCCCATGAGTTTGGGATGAAGAGATTCATCATCGTCCTCACGTAACTCATCTTCTGTGGATGGCAAGGTCTTCTGGAAGAGCTCATAAAGCTGAGAAGCCATGGTGAGGGGAGCTGGTGTTTAGCTGTTGTGGCAGGAAGAAGAGGAGGGGGTTTAGCTAGACTTGGGTCCCCTTGTGAATCAAAGCAGTCAGCTCACCTAAAACAGCATGAGTGGTTTCCCCATTACCCTTCTTCTGGACCCAGATCCACAATGAACACACCAAGCACAAGAAATTTGTAGGAGAAACAGCCCAATGCTTCCCCACTGTCCCAGCAGCCTACAAGGTGGTAGCCTTTTTACTGCCTACAAAACTCCCTGCAACTTGACATCTTATAAATTCAAGCTTTTAAACTCAACTTGAGCATACGCCGAACTTCTTTCTCCCCAAATTACCTCAATTGGAGGAAGAAACTGAGTGTGCCCCCCAAATACCATGGTGCCAAGATCCGGGCAGAAGTTATTTCTACCTGTGGTAGAAAATTGTCTTTTCTGTACTGGGGCCATATGTCCAAGAGGCTTTAAGTATGAAATGGTGCAGGCTATTCCTTCTCTGGGTACATTTCAACCACATGCAGATTTATTTCCCACAGTGCCTTGGGAATTCCTTTCTGTTCAATACACATCTATTGAATGCTTCACATGTGCCTCGCAATCCCCACAAAATGACAGAGACTTGGGTGTGTTTCCTTGGAAACAGGGACTGTTCATCATTCATTAAATACCCTGACTATGTGTGGCACACAATAGGTACATAGGGTGGACTCTGTTGCAATCTGGTCAAAGAGCTAGTGCTAGAGAGGATTAGAGGATTAGGTAAACCCCTATTTTGCCACCTCCACCCGTGAACTGGGGATCACTCCAACCCAAGGATATTGTGTGAGTTAAAAATGACAAAATATAATTGCAAAAAAATTTTTTATTTTTTATTGCACTTTAGGTTCTGGGGCACATGTGCAGATCGTGCAGGATTGTTGCATAGGTACATACATGGCGGTGGTTTGCTGCCTCCATTCCCCCCACCCCCCGTCACCTATATCTGGCATTTCTCCCCATGTTATCCCTCCCCAACTTCCTTACCCCCACAAAATATGTGTATATATATATTATATATATAATATCTATATTATATATATAAAATATATAAGCAAGAGAAAAAGAAGCCACATGAAATGCAAAATGATACCTGAAACTGATTTTTCAAAAACAGGTTAATTGTAGGATACTTAGAATCAAAAAATTTTCCAACTAGAATGGACAAGAGAGGTTATTTATTCCTCTTATTTTATAGAGGAACAAACCAAGGCCAAGAAAAATGAAGCAAGCTGCTTGATGCCACATAGCCAGTTAGTCCCAGATCGGCTGTCTTTCCTCTACCATGTTTATGTGCCTACACATGGGCAAGAAGAGCTCGTTTAGAGAGCACACTTAGCACACCTGTAGATCTGGAATGCTGCACTCACTCAAACCCTGGAGTCCCTGCTTCCAGTTGCCCATTCACACAAGCATCACACATTGCCTGAACTTCCCAATAAAAAGGACTGTACACTCCTCTAGAGCAGAGGCCGTCTGTGTCTCCATGGTCCTCTGTGTACATGCAAATGCCATCAGCTCCCCTAAAGCAGAGCCCACCCTACCTCCTCTCCCATGTAGGGTCTTTGTGACCACCCCAAAGAAGACAACATACAGGAAAGTACTGGAAACCAATGTGCGCTATGAAGACACAGTATAACCTTCTGTTCCTCTTCAGAAATTGAATGACAATTGTTAATCATACATTTGTTTCCCAATCATACATCATTCTACGAGAGCTCAGCCTTCACTGTATTGAAATTTATTGATATCCTTTATGTTATTTAACTTTCCTGTGCTTTAGGTGGTGCCCTCTAAACCAGTAAGAAGCCTCTAAAGGCCTTGAGGCCCATGAACTTGGACTTGAACACCACCCTTTCCCTCCCCAACCCCGCCATCCAGCACCTCCGCCGCCTGCCACACACACCTGCCCACCTAGCGCAGAGCTTTATGCACGCCAGGCCCTCAATACATAGTTGTCTTTGTAAATTACTGGGATCTCAGAAGATATTTGTGGTTACTGCTGGGGCTAAGTGATGCCTAAGAAGAACTGGAGGACAGAGTCTCGGAGCAGGACTTACCCAACCTGGGTTCTGGTCCTGGCTCAACCACAAACCAGCCTGTGACCTTGGAGTTCTTTCCCATGTCTGTGTCTCTGGTGCTCTGGTCCTTTCCGTGCTCTACCATGGTGGATAATTTACATAAACTGAGGTCCAGCCAGACTCTTACCCAGAATTGTGTAAATTTGAGTGAAATTTGGGGCCCCCTTCTGGCCAAAGTGGTTTTAGCACTTCTACCTCCTGTCACTGGCCAAAGCTATCACAGATCCTGGCTCACCTCTGGCAGGGACAGGCAGGAGGTAACTGCCATTCTACAGAAGGTAAGCAGTCCAACGCTCAGCTTCTCTCTCTGCTTCTCCTCCTCCTCCTCCTTTTTTTTTTTTTTTTTTTTTTTTTTTTTTTTTTAGACGGAGTTTCGCTCTTGTTACCCAGGCTGGAGTGCAATGGCGCGATCTCGGCTCACCGCAACCTCCGCCTCCTGGGCTCAGGCAATTCTCCTGCCTCAGCCTCCTAAGTAGCTGGGATTACAGGCACACGCCACCACGCCCAGCTAGTTTTTTTGTATTTTTAGTAGAGACGGGGTTTCACTATGTTGACCAGGATGGTCTCGATCTCTCGACCTCGTGATCCACCCGCCTCGGCCTCCCAAAGTGCTGGGATTACAGGCTTGAGCCACCGTGCCCGGCCCCTCCTCCTTTTTCTTCTTCCTCTGCCCCCTCTCTCTCTTTCTCTCTCAAATCAGCCTTGATATATTTATTTATTGACTTGCATTTGGGGAGTGTCTTGAGGATGGTCCCTCCTGAATATGGAGCAGACAGCAAGGCCGACTGCCCGGGGAAGTAAACTGCTTGCCAGGCTTCTCCTCTCTTTGCTGGGGAACAAGACGAGGATATGGGCCCAGAACTGCCCCACTGCCCAGCCCCACTGTTCACAAATTCTAGCCATACTAACAGGCCCCTCCTGTTGCCAAACCACCAGATGGTGGAAGCCACCTCTGTCCTACACCCAGCACAGTTTAAGTTCATTAGCGAAATCTCAACATGCTTCTTTACACTGTCCCTTGAGAGTCTCAGCCTCCTGTCTTAGCCTGGATTCCGGTGAGGGTTTGTGTACAGCAGAAGGTTTTGATAGAACC